ACAGTATCTGTGAGTTATGTTAGCAAAAGTATGTAAATGCTAATTCTTAAGGAAAATAAAGTGCAGGTTCACTCATGATGTCAATATCTGATGCTTTGGGGTTGATGAGTGTCATCACATGCAATTACAGACACTCACACAATGAAATTTTCACCCTTATCAGCTGTAGAAAAACTGTTCCACATCAGAAACACTAACAGAGCCCAAAAGTGAACCCTATTTTATACATTAAATAACATGCAGCACTTTCCACAAAAGTATTGCTAATTCCTTAGTGATTTTTAAGCTAATTTTAAGGAGTGATTACAGATGAGCTTTGTATTTATGCTTCTTAACATCTCAGCATTATCTCAGTATTGATGGAGACAACCTTGATGTCATTTCAAGGTGTCTTCATTCACCTTGAGGTGAAAGGTTTCCAGTTTATGGCCAAAAGTCCTTTTATTAATCTAAGTATGTGTCTCAGCACTGATTTCAATGCAATTTTCAACATTCTGATCTGCCCTTCCCAAATTTATCATGGGAAGAAGCAATGAGCTGCTAATGGCCAGACCCAACTCCTCTGATTTCAATGCAATATTCAACATTTAGATCTGCTCTTCACAAATTTATCAGGGGAAAAAGCAATGAGCTGCTAATGGCCAGACCCAACTCCTCTGATTTCAATGCAATATTCAACATTTAGATCTGCTCTTCACAAATTTATCAGGGGAAAAAGCAATGAGCTGCTAATGGCCAGACCCAACTCCTCAAGAGAGAATTGGGAACTTCTGTTAAGAGTTAATCCATGAATTCCTGAATTCTTTTAATCTAACAATCCAATCTGCAGAATGATTAGTCATAAAGGATATGCTAAAGTGGAAGGAATCATAAATAATCTATATGGAATAAGACAAAGGAGTATTTTATCAACAGCACTTCAGACTTGTACAACAAAGCACTGATGCACTGTCCATTAACATGACACAAAAACACAGCCAAGGAGAACAAAGTAGATGGAAAATGTAACAATATGGTGGATTTTTATCATGATAAAAAGGCGTGGAGAATGAAAGTATCCAAACAAACGTGTGTGGATGTGGCACTCGAGGACATGGTTTAGTGGTGCTGCTTGGTTGGACTTGCCCTTAAATGCCGATGATTCTGTAGCCCTGAAACTCAATGTTCACTCATACTCACCCTCTGTCCAAGTTGACATGAACTGCCAAAATCAACAATCTTGATAGCGCTTCGTTTGGGGTTACAGAGCAGGATATTCTCAGGTTTTAGGTCACAGTGAATGATACTAAGTTCAGGAGTCGCCAGGAAGAGCAGTGCAGTGCACATCTGCTGTGCGAATTTGCGCGTCAGGTTCAAAGAGACACCTCTGAAGTTGGTGTTCCTCAACAGGTCATACAGGTTGTAGGACAACATTTCGAAGACTAAGCAGAGATGGTTCCGGAACATGAAGTGACGCTTCAAATGCACTTGGAAAAGGAGAAGAAAATCATGAGTACATAGCCTGGTGTGGTAAAAATTAGGCACTAATTACAACACAATGCTTAAATCAGTATGGAGGAAGTTCAGCTATGAGTAAGATAATAGAGTGATTGGGTTTTTTTCCCAAGCCCTGTGGTTATTTATGGAATATTTCTGCCACACCTGGGGTATGGAGGGACATTTTATACCTCTTTGGGCGTAGAGTAAAGCTGTATGAACCAAAATGATTTAATTAAAAGACACAAGGAATATAAAACCAAGTCATCACTCCCTTACATTTGCAGAGAAAATATTTGACTGTCAGATTCATTTAACATATACATTACTGCAATTTATAAGCTGTGCTTCAATTATTAACACTGATCAATAAGCCATTATATCCATTTCAACCAGGAATACTCTGAGTTCATGAAAGCAACCAATCCAATCCATTTCTTTTCCTTGAAATAAGTGGAAAATTCATCACATGAAGCTGTTTAGAGGCAAGCAGAGTCCATCAGTCTCTCAGGGGTTCAGGTTGCCACAGGTAAAACAAAGCTGGAATAGGAAAAACACTTCAGCCCTCAGGTACAAAGCAACACATTCCCCTTTTGGTCATCTTAAAATCTTGAACCAATATTGGCACAATGAGAAGTCAGAGTTTCAGTTCAGGTGGATTTTTTGGTCTCTCATGGCAACTTGGGTGTCCCATGGATTTTTCTCTCTTATCACAAACCACTTTTTCCTGTGTCCTTCACAACTTACCTGTGACGTTTGCTTCCACCCTGATGCCAATTCCTGCAATATATCCTTGTCTAAGCCTTTCCTAGTCTCTCTTCTTTGCCACTATCCTCCCATGAGAGCACCAGCACCTTTCCATGCCCTGGTGGTCTTCTTACACTCAATTCCAACTACCTGAGCTTGCTGGACACACCA